TTTTAAATCAGGGAAACTATCTGAGATTGTCCAAGGCAATCACAGAGGTCCTTAAAAATAGAAGAGAGAGAAGGGAGTCAGACAAAAACATAACTATGGAAGGACAGAGTGAAGTAGTGAGAGGACTCAACTAGTAGTTTCTTTCATCTTCAAAGAAAGAAGAGGACCCTAAGGTAAGAATGCAAATAGCCTCTAGGTGCTGGAAGAAGGAAGAAAGCAGACTCCCTACAAGGAATTCAGCCTTGTTCATACCTTAATTTTAGCCTAGTGAGACACTTTTCAGACTCCTAATCTACAATACTATAATACAGATCCAGGTTGCTTTAGGCCACTAAATTTGTGGTACTGTGTTCCTGTGGCATCAGAAAATCACATTCAGTGACTGGCTCTGAGGAACAAATCATCAAGAGGAGAATTGACAAAGACTTCTTCGAAAGTCTATATTTTTCTTGTTGTGTTATTTAACTTTTAAAACCATGAAGATGCACCTCTTTCAGATGTGAAGGAAGCCTGAAAGGAAAAGTTAGAGCCAACTAGGAAATGGAGGCAAGGCCGCTGAGCAGGGAACAAGATAGCATGGGGACAGCAACATGGATGGCCCGGCAGATAAGCCTGGAGAGGTAGTTCTCAGCACCAGCAGATCAGAGACCGCCCCAAAGACCTTGCACACACCCTGCTCACGGCTTCTCTGGGTAGAGCATGGATGGTTGTACGTACTCAGGGAGGGCTCAAAATAAACACAACATTTTCCTGGACCATCGACTATTTAAATACTTGTATACTAAAACTAGCAAAGACATATTATAGAGTTGAATACAGAACTCACATGAATTTTTAACATAAAAACTGGAGACTTCAAGATCCCTTCTCATTATGAAACCTACTTTAGATATAAAACTAACTGCTAACCACTCACCATCAAGACTAAATCCTCTCTGTAATTGATGAGGGTCAGAAGAAAATTATGAAACTACATAGCACACATACATCAAAGCCTCTAGAATTTTATACCAGCCACCTATTGTTGGTTGCCAGTCCTCCCATTGGGTCCTACCCAACAGTAAATTGACAAGTATCTTGTTCTTTTCTAAATGTATCTGGGTCCTGCAACAGCCAGTAGGATGAGCATAGCCTGGAGAAACACAGAAAACTCATCATGCTAAATCCTTCCCACTTGTCCTCTCCTTGCTGTAGCCCGCCAGCCTCCCCCCACCCTAAGCATTGCCAGAATCACTGACTAAAGCCTCACTTCCACCATCCGCACCCATACGCTCACAGTACAGGCCTTGTTAGAGAACAGATTGAAGACACTTCCATGAAAGGAAGTTAAGAAATAGGGCACATCTCTTGGGAGAGAGTATCCCTTGTGGTCATAATAAATGGGTGGAAACTATTTCTATTGTTATAGCTGTTTTTGTTTTTAAAACAATAAGCACAAGACAGAGATCTGAATTTTTTTTCTATAGAGTCACTACGGGCCACAGAAAAGAGGCAATGGGATCAATGGGAAACCCACTTTAATTGGATTTTGTTTTGTGTGTACACATACACATTCAAAAAACTCTAAATTCAACTGGTTCTAAATTAAGAACACAGAACATGAAATTTCAATGACACAATAGATATATTAAAACACTACACAGCCATATTACTGATAGTAAAAAAAGGCAAAGAGAAAGACAAAGAGGCAGGGGTGAGGATGGGCCCAGGGTCAGGATGGAAGAGCAAAAAAGAATAATGACAACAAGACAGACGTACAGAAAATGGAAGCGGCTGAGTGGTCCACAGAGACAGGTACTAGGCAGGGCCTACACAGCTGACCAAAGGAAAGTACATAGTTGACAGCCAGCTGCTGGGTTGGGCCATAGACTTCAAAGTATTATCACCTTTTATCCTTGCCTTTGAATGGTTAATCCTCTGGTTAACCACTGTTCACAGCTCTGTAAATACTCACTGAAAGTTCTGAGGCTTACCTCAGGTCCCCCAGATGATCTTCAATTTGGTGACTCTGTCATCTACAAGATTATCCCTTGAAAAGGGAATACATGAAATGTCCTCTCATAAAACATACAATTGTCCAAATATACAATGAAAATCAGAGAAGAAAATGCTGCTTTCATTTTTTAAAAAAATTCGTGTACCATTTTTTATTTACATTTTTAAAAAACTAGGAGTTCAGCAGAACTGGGCCTCACCTCCAGCACTTCTCACAACCAGCTAACCTGACTCCTCATACGTTCAGGTTCTATAAGCCTCAGTAAAACTAGAGGTCTCCTTTGTCCCTAACTGCTCACCCTTCACTATACTCTGCATTTTGAGAGTCAAAGGAGACATCCCAAGGGGATTCCAAGTTTGGCTTGGCCCAGCTGGACTCTCCGCTCATCTGGACGCCCACCCATGCACCCCTGTCCCAGGCAAGCCATCCTTACTTCACTCCAAGGGCCCAGAAATACTCTGCTCTTCCCTAACTGATACAGCCCCTTTTTAAGCTTCACCCCTTTCTCCTCCCAGCTTGACTCCAGTCTTCCCCTTCCTCACAAGACCTGTCGCCAACCTCCTATCTTCTCTTGTCTATTTCTCCAGCCTCCTCCTCCTTCTGCTCTACTTCCTCTTCACTTTTTCTCCTTCCTCCGAAGAGGACGGAGGACCTTTATAGACATGCCTAGAATACAAGGCTCAGAATCTATCACCCGGGCTTCTTCCTCCAACTCTGCATCTTTCCAGCTATATGACCTCAGACAAATGGCCTAACTCCCCAATCCCTCAAATCCCTCAGTGAGCAGTGCTGACTGGGTCAATCACAGAGGGCTTTTCCAGCTCCCATGTCCTCAGTATCTCAGTGTTCACCTCTACAATCTTAAATAAAATGGTGAGTTACCCAGGTACTGAGGCAGACTGAATTCTAGAAACTCCTTTCCTCAATGGTCTGTCATCCTACCCTGGGATCTCCACCAGAAACACCCACCCTGACTCTACACCTCTCATTCTAGACCATTCTACCTCTGAATTATTTACATACAGTAAAAATTCACAAATCACTCCAATCAAGGAGAAGATGAATTTGAACTCAACAGTAGCATGTGTCCTAGAATTTTTCTTTCATGCCATTGCTGAACCCTTAGAATTTAACATCAAATTAGCAAACAGAAAGAATGTAAAAATGCCAAACAAATCATATCTGTGCATTTAAGAAGAGGGGCTATCCTACTGAAAACCTGACAACATCTTATGTTCTGAAGCCCTCTTGTTTACTAACAAGGACTCGGGCCCAAAGAAGGAAGTCACTATCCCAAAGCCCAGAGAAGGTTTGTGGCCACAACAAAGATAACTGCCCCACCAAAGCTTTATGAGACCATCTGTCTCTATTTCATAGGGACAGATCAAATCCTAAACTACTAGCCAGTGCTCTCCACAGCAAATCCAATTCCATGTTCAAGAAAGGGTATAGAGAACTGAGCTGGGATGACCAGATGATTACAAATGCAGCACCAAAAAAGCTGTCAGTCCTGGGCCTGGCCTTTCATTCTCTGCAAAGAAAACTCACACATTGTTATCTGTACCAACCTCTATTTTGGAGATGGAAAAAGAGGCAAAGCTGAACAGCTCTTTGTTCTGTCAGTAAAAAGCACTTTCTCATCCTTTCCCATGACTTAAACCCATTCCCAAATATTCCCAGTCTCTTTTAAAAGTTTACAGAAACTCTTTGACTACAACAAATATAAACAGATAAGAAAGGGCTAATAGGGGGCTGCGCTCTATAAAATGATGAGCTCCCCTCTCCTCACCCACAGGGTGGACAGCACTTCATTTCACTTGCTAATTCCCTGCAGGAAAATCACCAGAGCCAGTTGTCACCGTTCCTTAAACTGACAAAAGTGCTCTCTGCAGCACCTGGAACACTCTTTCCTAACCATCTATTCCTACAGTGGCCAGCGCAGTGGTGCCAAAAGACCTGCCCTTCCCTCTTTCCCCCTCTCAGGCTAAGAGGGACACCTCAGGGCTTGGCTGGCTAGGAGCTATTTAAGGCAGCATCAGAAGGGTGAGGCAGAAAATTGTTGGCAGGATCCTCCTCCTTCCCTCCCCCCACAGCCAGCACACCTCACTCTGTAGATAGCCATCTACCTCATCCAAGTCTCTGAAGGCTGAAGCTATGGAGCCCTCAAACGTTCACCATGTGCTTTCTGTCACTGACATTTCTGTCTCCCTTGCTACCCACCCTACCTTTTATTCACCACCCGCTCTCAGTCACTACCAAGGAGAATAGAGACAGGCAATTCATCGATGGCCTTCACTCGTGAGAGGAAAAGAAGGCACAAAGAGGTGTGGAAGGGAGGGAGTCAGAGGCCTGACATGCCAAATAGGTTCCGTGAATGTCTAAATGAACGTCCCTCCTACTGACAGTAAAATCAATTCTAGCAATTTCAGCAAGTCGGCCCTGTGACAACAAGAGCATCCCAACGACCTGTTTAAAACAAAAATCCAAAGGCTCTGCCAGAACATGCTGGGGGAAACCCGGGAACTAGATAATACGAGCCACCCTCAGTGGGATTCCTTCTGTTTTTATGTAGCAATGTAACACCGTAATAAATTATGGCTGCCCCAAGGAAGCATGCACTGGTAAATTTCAAAGCCATTTTACTGACAGCGGGGGAGGGGGGGGGGTGCGGGGCGGGATGCAGAATTCGACAGCACATTCTCCCTGGAAAGGCACGCAATGACTTCAAGTCTTTTCCCCCCTCTATCTTGAATGGCACTATCGCTTACAAGGAAACCACGACAGAAAGCAACAAGGTGGGAACCAAAGATGCCCGGGAATTCGGAGAAAGAAATTGCTTTCTGTCCCTCTCGGTGATGAGCTGCCTAGCAGGATGCTGTGCTGTCAGCCACTGGGCGAGATGAAAGGGCATGGCGAGATGGGCAGACACTGTGTCCCCGACACACACATACACACTCGCAGCCGCCCACTGCTCCGGGATGGGGGGTCAGATGAATGAACACACCTGAAATGCCTCCATCCTGTCGCTCGCTCCCTCGTTCTTCCTTTGGCTGCTGCAGAAGAGGCCCCGGTAGTTTCACTTTACAGCACAAACCCACCCGGGCTTTCACGTCTCCTCCACCCACCCACCCATCCACAGCGCAGCCAGCCAGAAGCCGGCAGACCCGCTCCCGCGGCAGAGGCCATGATCGCACTACCCCCCACCCACCAGAAAAAGAAAAGCAAAGAAAGAAACCTGGAATCCCCCCAAATCTCCGCATCCTAGCCAACTTTCCTTCAAGGAACAGGAATCCAGTGGGTGGGCAGGTCGCACGGCTCGGCCGTGGATGACCACGGCGTCCCCGCGACCACAGGGCGATGCTCTGGGGGAGGGGGTCCCCCAAGTCCCTCCAACAGCTGGCCCTTTAAAAGCACCTCCTCCGAGCGTGGAACAAAGGCGCCGCCCGCGGGGGTCAGGCCGGTGCACACCCCCGGCGCCGCGGCGGAGCGGGCGAGCGCTGCTGATTTGGAGGGTGGCGCGGGCTGGCTTACCTCGCGGGTCGCCGGGCGGGCCGGCGCGCGTGTCCTGCCCTGCTCGCACTACACGCTGCAGTTGGCCCCGCTCTGTTTTTCTGAGACTCGGCGCTGACTTCACCGACACTCCGCGGCCGGCCAATGGGCTGCGGCGCCCGGCCCCTCATTAGCATACCTCTGGAACCGTCCACTCTGGCGGCGCCCAGGGGGCGGGGCGGGACCGGCTATGACAGGAAGGAGTGTGTGCACCAATAGGAGACAAGAAAGCGCCCGCCGCCCCTCCCGCTGCCCTGGGAGCCAGTCGCGGGCCGGTGGGCTCCCCAGATAATGTGCGCCCTGGTTCCGAGTAACCCTTTCAGTCCAGGGCTGACCGCGAGCCGGCCAGCCTTCTAGTCTGGTCTTTCATAGAGGTCGCCCGTGGGACGCTTGGAAGGAACCTTAGGCGTGAAGTAACGACTAACGTGTCTTGACCACCTAGAAATCGCTTAATCTCTATGCCCCACTTTTCCCATCTATAAGATGGTGCAATAGTACTGATTTTGTTGGAGGTAGTGAAGATTAATAAAGTTAACATTGGTAAAGCGTTGAGATTAGTGCTTGGCTATTGTGCTACATATGTGTTTGCTGCTATCATTATTACACTCTGTACCAGGCAGGGTGCTTAGTGCTTCCTAGATACCTTCCCATTTGATCCTCATAGCCTTACAAGAGAGGCACTATTACCATAATTTCAGTAGCTTGCCTGACTGCACAGAAAGCAGCGTAACCAGGTTGCAGACTCAGGCTCAGAGTCTAGTTACACTTACACACTGAGAGCACAGCAGGCGTGGACCCGACCCTGTGGTTGTTAAGGCCCCCTTAAGAAGCTTCCATTTTAGTGAGGGAGACTTGCAGTGCTAAAAGGAGACTGAATAAAATGTAATGGGATAACCTGCAAGTGGAGAAAAGGGCACTGTGTTAGATTATGTTTCCAGCTAAGTCACTGGTTAGTACTCATGACTTTCGCTGGTTCCTCATCAGAATTGCAGAAAAAGGAAACAGGAGGGGAACCAGAAAGGGAAAACTGCCTGCCCAAGTCACAAAGCCCGAGAATGACTAGTCTGGAACTTGCTTCCCCCATACCAGCTTCCCACATCCCTAGGCATCGCTCAAGGTGCCACAGTCACCTCTCCGTCTAAGCACAACTCTCTTCAGCAGCCTCTGGCAGGAATCATTGGCCAAAGCATGTTTCTAACTAACAGACTGTGTGGTGGTTAAAAGGACAGGCCTCGATGACTACACTGGCTCATAAGAGGGAAACGCATCCGTGAAGATTCTTAATGTCAAGGAACACCTGCTCAGCTGTGTTTAAAGAAGAAGAGGAAGGAAGAGGAGAAGGAGGAGGAGGAGGAGGAGGAGGAGGAGGAGGAAGAAGAGGAGGAGGAGGAGGAGGAGTGGGAAGGGGGAGGGGGAGGGGAGGGGGAGGAGGGGCGGGAGGAGACAGGGCGGCAACTCCTAGCTGCCTGGGAGCTTAGTCCAGGATACAAGATGTCACCACAGAGTCTAGGAAGCCCCCAGCCTGTGCCTCATCACACTGCTTTGCGATGAACAGTTCTCAGGCTCTGAATTGCATCACAATCTGGGCAAAATGGCTCTTTCTGGGCAGTAAAAAATACTCACTGCACATGTCTAGTCTGCTATGCACTGTGCTATACTTGCTCTCAGAGCCTTGCATACATTAACTCACACCACACTACAACCCCAGGCCACAAGTACTGTCATTAGTGTGAGATTATCCACAGATGGAATACAAAACTAAGTGAAAAACTAAATCTACTGCCTAAGCAGTAAATTCAGGGCAACACCATTTAGAATAAAATAATAATAATCCAAAAGTTTGATTTGAATAAATTAGTTAACACTATAACTATTTGACAGAATAGGGTATAGTCATAAAAAATGAAGTGTTATATTTGACATTTTTGTTTCATTTTGTTTTTGAGACAGGATCTTGTTATGTTGCCCAGGCTGGCCTCACTGGACTTGAGTGATCTTCCCTTCCTCGACTGTAAGTTGCTGGCATGCACCACCATGCATGGCTATTGACATTTATTGACAAACAAAGATGCTCATAATATATTATTGAAAGGAAAAGTAGATTGAAAACTGGTTTCATATAACCCCATTGTAATTTTTTATCGAATTATAAGCAATTATTTTTTGCTCACCTTTATTTTTCTGATCTTATTCCTTCTCAAATGTCTATCAAATTGTTCAACAAAATAATTTTAACATGAAAAAGTAGAGTCTCTTCAGAGAGATGTTATCTATAATCAAAGCCATCTCTGTAAATCGAAGATCATCTCAAGGAATCTTAAGTGAGGACAAAGTCTTTAAGTCATGCCTCTTCTGGTTCCAGTCTATGACACTATTGCATTTCTCACCTGTAAATCATAACATGACTATGAGAGTTTGTCAGGGGAATGGAGAAATATTGGAAGGACAGAAAAGAAGGGGGAAAAAGTAGAAAGAAAAATTCTGCTATCCTTTGAGATCCATCTCAAATATCATGGTGTAATGACATCTTAATACCAAAATCAACCCAAGAAATCATCAGTTATGCTGATTCATTGGTATCTCCAGTCATTTGCTGATCATCTAGATACCAGGCATGGTGCTAGCTGCTGGAGATATGGTGATGAGAGAGAGGACTGATTCCCTACTTCCAGAAGGCAACCCCTAAGGAAGCAGAAGCCCAGGTAAAAATCGCGTGAGGCAGGGCCTTCTCAGTCTGTGTGGAGAAGCGGTCCATACTTGGTTTGATGTTCTGCTGCCCCATTCTTAGAATTCATCACTTTTGAATAACAGACTCTACATTTTCCTTTTGAACCAGGCCCTAAAAAGTATGTAGACTGTGTGGGGCAGGGAACAGTAAAGCTTTGTGAATGTCACTGCCAGCCTGAAGTGAGCCTGGGGCTCTCTGCTCTCCAGATCCTTTTCTTTTCTATCACACAGTCTCAATCCTGGCTCCCCAGGAAAAGGGGCAAGCTCCTGCTTTTCAGAGCTATGCGCTTCCTTTCATATGGAACTTACTGTGTTCGCCATGAACTCGTATATATTCCTTTGCAGTTTCATTTCTCATTCCTTCTCACACCAGATTTTAAGTTACATAAGACCGTGGCTCATGTCTGCTTATCACAAATGATATTTAATATTGTGCTTCACACACTGGTAAAAATGTCCTCAAGTTTAATTTAATCTTATTATTAACTCCTCATTTTCTCTTCATGTGCATCCGAATATTCCCAGAAGTCTTTCTGCTATCAGAGAGAAATAAAACTATGAAGCAGGAGAGTTGTGCACACAAACCAGGCCATGTGTGTGGGGAATTAAGAGAGGATGGAGAATAATCTGCCTTTTCTCCATCTTCAGGGTCACTGAGGCTAGACATGTGGAGGTAAACTATCCAAGCAGAGATACAGCATTTGCATAGTGGTGATGGCTGCAGATTCCAGAGCAGAAGTACCAGATAGAATCCTGCTCTGGCACCCAGTGCAGAGCTATGGGACAATTTCCTTCAACCATAACATAAAAAAAAACCACAACCACCTGAGGTTTACTTTCAAGCTATAGATTACATCATTCATTCAAGTGATTACACACTGACTAACACACATAAACTCTAAATAAGTGGATATTAGTAGTAGTAGTATTACTAGGAGGCAACATCAAGGAAAATACTTTCTTAAAACATGAGAGTTTTGGTAATCTTGTTTCTCCAGTAACTTAAAGGTTGCATGTTAGACAATATCAGGAGTGAAGAAAACTGAATGAGAGAAACAGTTATGAATCAAAGGGGTTAGCTCCTATATCACTAAAAAAAAATGTTGATGATTTGTGCCCAACTTATTTTATAGCATCTTAAAGAAAGTGCAGTATGTACTGGAAAGACCAAAATTGCCTTAAAGAATTGATTCTCATGTTTCTTATTGGGTATAGTGGGAAAACATGCAAATCCACACACGGTAATCTAAGGCCCAGAATGAATTTGAAGGTTATAGAGCATCAGATTCAAGAGTCTCACCTTCTTTGGAAGTCAGTGCTGATGGATAGCACTTTAGGAAAGTTTAGTGAGATGGGAGGAGTTCGGTAAGATGTCCATGGGCCAGGTGAAAAACAGTAGGGATCACTGTTCTTGGTATGGCTTTGAACCAGCAGTCCCCAGACTCTAGAATCAGGTCTCTGTAATCAATCCAAAAGCAGTTGCGTTAACATGTCCTGTGTTATTGCTTAGGTAAAAGCACGGCACATAACAGAACTCCAAATATTGTATTGTATTAAACCAAATATGCTCAATTTGGTTTGGGGATGGTTTTACACTATTAGTTAAAATAAACATATTTGCAGATTGACCTGAGTAGATATTTGGGAGTATTAGAAGTACAGGCTGCGTTTTGTCAGCTACCTTGTGCAGAATAATCTGCCCTTGGTTGAGGCTGTAGAATGGGTGATCTGAAGGTAGCTGCTGGAAAATCTGTTTTTTGTTTTTGTTTTTGTTTTTCTGATGGGGCTAGAGGATTTATTGATTAGAAAATGCTGAGTTAACTCGATTTACTACTCTAAAATAATTTAGAGAGCAAAGTGTTTACTAAAGAAAACCATCTTAGGATTGGTGGACACAGCTCACAACTCTGAGAGAGGCTTTCTGAATGAGGATGGATCCAGGAAGGAGGAATGAAGTGGAGGGACAGGGTCAGAGGCAGAGAGCAAGAGGATGCAAGAGGAAAAGAGAAATCATTTTGAATGGAATGAGAAGAAAATAACAGCAAATTCAGAAATGAGGCAACTATTTTACAAAACTAATGTTACCATAACAAGGTTAAAAAATCAACAACAATTGTGTTAAGAGAATGACATTCTAGAAGCTGTTGAAAGCTTGTGGTTAGAAGAGTTCATTATGGGGAGTCATTTCAAAGGACCAAATTGAATCACATGAGTGCCTTGGGATGCTAATTATTTGGACATGCAGATGTGAGAAATGTCAGGTACTGAGTGAAAGCAGCAAATGAGGAATGGATGTGGTACCTGTCAAGTTTCAACCTCTGCATTACCTTAGCAGGTGTGTCCTGTTGCTGTATTTGCTTGTCCCACTCCCATTTGGCATAGTAGATCTTTAGCTGCATCAGCTCATTGCCTTAAATAGCACTTGGCGGTGCTCTCTAATCACTTGGG